CTAGGGGACCAGAGCAAAATGCAAGGACCATGTTCTAATGCAAACTGATAGACTGACTACCATAGCCCTGGTGGCTTCAGCTGCAAAGTGTCTCTCAGATGTTAGCTGTCCTTTCAAAATTCAAGGTCCAGCAAGAAGCTATTGGCTGGCATCTTGACTTAGCTGTTAGACTTTAATATGGAAATAATGCTAAAAAATACAAGGACTCAGTACCTGATAATACAAAAAAATGCTGTCAGTGCAGCTAAAAATGCAGAGCCAGTGTTCAGTTTGGATGTAAATAATTCTGATTTGAAGGCTGGTGTAATTAATGGCTTTGGCTAACCTTCAGATTTAGCATCATGATGATTACTTGGTAATGCTTAAGGTAATTCACATTTTGGCCCAGAAGCATCTGACACAGAATGCAGTTGCCAAAGCAAATAAAAAACCCAACCAACCAAACAAACAAACAAAGGGATTACCTGTTGCTTTAGCCAAGTGTATTCTTGGTTTTAACACAGGGGATGCAGTTCTTAATGAAGCTGCTCAAATTCTGTGATTGTTGCATACAGAAAAGCTCAGAAAGCCACAGACAAAATTTAATGAAGTCATAGTAGCTGTTCAGGCAATTGTTGCCAATTCAAAGACAGATCACAGTCTGGGGAAAGTTGGAAGATAAACATTTTAGGATTTCATTCTCTCACTTACTTAGTACAACTGGGAACCATGTATGCCCTGGTATTTTAACAGGGGAAAACTGTAATGGTGGGAACTGTAACCCACTCCCACCATTCTTTTTTTTTTTTTAATTGTTGTTCAAGAACAGTTTTCTGTCCTTTACTCCAATCCCAGCCCACCCCCCGCCCCCACAGTTTTTGTCCATGTGTCCTTTATATTTGTTCCTGTAAACCCTTCCCATTCTCCCCTGAAAGTCCCCTGAAATTCCCTCCCCTCTCCCCTCTGGTCTCTGTCAGCCTGTTCTCTATTCCCACCATTCTTTTGACATTGTTTCTGTCAATGCTAAGTCTGACTACGTGGCTTATAGATGAAAAGCATGTTTGTATAAGAATTTTTGAAACTAGTTAAAAAGATACAGACCCCAAACTTCAAGCATCTCAGCTCCAGGAGATTTGCGGACTTTCAATCATGGAGCCAGGATGACTTGAAGCTGGGATGATATGAAGAAAGGATGACTAAACTAGGATGATGCACACCGGACCATCACCTGCCTTACTGGAATGGACTGTGCCAGTCTGCAGAGAGAGAACTTTGTAACCCTCTCCCTTGATCTCTCTGCTCTGTTCCCTTCTTCCTCCTTATAAAACACCTCCGCCTCCAACAAGAGGTGGCAATAGGCTTTGTGATGTGAGTCCCCCATCTTCCAGATGGCTGGCATCTGCAAAAGAAACACTTTCCTTTACATCAGCACCTGCCTCTTGGGTACTGGCTTTCATAGTAGGGCAGGGGGGCAACCAGGCCTGTTTTGGGTTACAGTAGGTGCTTCAAAATCAAACATCACATTTTCAAGGGAAGAATCCCAGAAATTAACTATGTTATAGAGATTTACTGCCATTGCTTTTTCTTTAAAGTTCAGGAAGTGGGTGCGGGAGATCAATGGGTCATCTTCTTTATATGTGTGCATCTATAGAGAAGTTTTAAATTTTAAAGAATTATTTTTCATCACTAAAGTTTTTATTTTATTTTATTTTAATCATTGTTCAAGTACAGTTTTCTCCCTTTTACTCCCATTCCAGCCCGCCCACCCATTCCTCCCCACTTCCCTCCCATTACCACCCTCCCCCTAGTTTTTGTCCATGTGTCCTTTAAATTTGTTCCTGTAAACCCTTCCCTTTTTCCCCTGAAACTCCCTCTTCTCTCCCCTCTGGTCACTGTCAGCCTGTCCTCTATTTCAGTGTCTTTGACTATATTTTGCTTGTTTCTTTGTTTTGTTGTTTAGGTTCCTGTTAAAGGTGAGATCATATGGTATTTGTCTTTCACTGCCTGGCTTATTTCACTTAGCATAATGCTTTCCAGCTCCAACCATGCTGTTGCAAAGGGTAGGAGCTCCTTCTTTCTTTCTGCTGCATAGAATTCCATTGTGTAAATGTACCATAGTTTTTTGATCCATTCATTTACTCATGGGCATCTAGGTTGCTTCCAGCACTTAGTTATTGTAAATTGTGCTGCTATGAACAATGGGGTGCAAAGGTTCTTTTGGATTGGTGTTTTAGGGTTCTTAGGATATAGTCCCAGCAGTGGAATTGCTGGGTCAAAAGGCAGATCCATTTTTAGTTTTCTTAGTGGTTGCAGTGGCTGCAGTCCCACCAACAGTGCACTAGGGTCCCCTTTTCTCCACAACCTCTCCAACACTTGTTGTTTGTTGCTTTGTTTATGATGGCCATTCTGACCGGTGTAAAGTGGTATCTCATTGTGGTTTTAATTTGCATCTCTCTGAGAGATAGTGATATTGAACATCGTTTCATGTGTCTTTGGATCCTCTGTATGTCCTCCTTGGAGAACTGTCTGTTCAAGTCCTTTGCCCATTTTTTAATTGGGGTTCTTGTCTTCTTAGAGTGTAGTCGTGTAAGTTCTTTATATATTTTGGAGATGCAACCCTTGTCTGAAATATCATGGGCAAATATGTTTTCCCATACAGTTGGTTCTCTTTTAATTTTGATACTGTTTTCTTTAGCTGTACAGAAGCTTTTTATTTTGATGAGGTCCCAATTGTTTATTCTTTCCTTTATGTCCCTTGCTCTAGGGGACATGTCAGTAAAAAAGTTTCTGCGTGAAATATCTGAGATTTTCCTACCTATGTTCTCCTCTAGGACTTTAATGGTGTCACGGTTTATATTTAAGTCTTTTATCCACCTTGAATTTATTTTTGTATAAGGTGTAAGTTGGTGCTTGAGTTTCATTTTTTTGCATGTAGCTGTCCTGTTCTCCCAACACCATTTGTTGAAGAGGCTATTTTTACTCCATTTTATGTTGCTGCCTCCTCTGTCAAATATTAATTGACTGTAGAGACTTGGGTTTATTTCTGGGCTCTCTGTTCTGTTCCATTGGTTCATGTGCCTGTTTTTATGCCAGTACCAGGCTGTTTTGATTACAGTGGCCTTATAGTATAGCTTCGTGTCAGGTATTGTGATCCCTCCTACTTTACTCTTCTTTCTCAAAATTGCAGCAGCTATTCGGGATCATTTATGGTTCCATATAAATTTTTGAAGTGTTTGTTCTATGTCTGTGAAATAAGCCATTAGTACTGTAATAGGTATTGCATTGAATGTGTAAATTGCTTTGGGTAGTATGGACATTTTGATGATATTAATTCTTCCAATCCATGAACACGGTATATGTTTCCATTTGTTTGTGTCTTCCTTGATTTCTTTCCTCAGTGTTATGTAGTTTTCTGAATACAGGTCTTCTACCTCCTTGGTTAGGTTTATTCTTAGGTATTTTATTTTTCTTTTTGCTATTTCAAATGGGATTTTTTTTCATCATCACCAAAGTTTTAACTGCTTTTTAATCTCGCCACAAGCAGAGCATCAGTTTTTCTAATTATTCGCTTCTTTAGATTAAACTACCTGTATATTCAAGAAGAGTGCTCTATGAAGCTGATTTTTGTATCTTCAACATATTTATATTTCCTTAACAGTGAGTTTGATGTATGATTTTTCATGAACAATTGTCTCAAATCCTGTTTCTTACTTGATACTGAGTACAGTCTTCTTACTAAATTATATGCATATGGAAAGGGAGAACACATTGAGAAGCCAGGGCTAGAAATACATGTAGCTAACTTTGGTGACAGTAGGTTAGGCAACATCATTTCAGTATCAATGGTCACCCTGGAGCATATGTAATTTCTTGTCATTTATAAAGCTGTGTGACAGACATCAGTAGCGAAACTTATTTAACCAAAAACAGATTAAATTAAAATAGGACAAATAGAATTAGAATCAAAATGCCATCTGGAAAACTGCTGTAAAGAGCCTGAGGATGAGGTTCCAATTACCTGCATCTGAAAAGATTCCCCCCACTGCTTCTCACTGAGTGGGGAATCACATCTAATGCTGCTCTCACAGCCTGTGCTACCATGAGGTACTGTGAGGCCTGTGCTACAGGGAAGGAAATGGACGGCTCATTTCGGGACCACTGTGCCTCTTCCTTCCTGCACACGAAGTGGCAGTCTGTGACAGGGAAAGCTAGCCTGCACTGTGAAATCAAGTATGCGAAGAAGGTGCCATTACAATTTAGTGGGAATTTGTTAATCACAATTAGAACTGTGACAAACAGCTAAGTGTGCATTTTATATCTTAAGTGTGTATATGTTTACAACTCATATATTTATTATAGAATGTACATGTCTTTACTTTCTACTAAACATGCTATACATCATGAAATTATTTTACCCAGCAAAGATAAGATGAACATGGAATAAAAGTGTCTTTCAGAACTCTGCTGAGTGCAATCACAAAGTTGGTGCTTCTTCTCTAGTGGTTCTAGGTTAGAGCTACATAAAATAAACATTTACAGTCACATAGGTCATATATAAGAGTATGATTTTCTGCATAATTTATGCATATTTTTATACATGTAAAATAATACCTACATAGCACACTCGGGTAATTTTTAAGTTAAAATTAATTATTGTGTATTTTCTGATCCTTTGGTAATATTCCTCTTTTATACTCATATTCCACATCCACCACACACCCACAACAACTAATCATGACCTCACTCTACCAGAAGTGAACTCTGGAAAGAAAAGCAGGTGCCCAGAGGTGGGAAAAGATATGAAGATACCACAGTTTTCTAATGTTTTGCCAGTTCACTCACAATGGTGAGTCAAAGACCAGTCACTGACTTAAGCAGCAGGATACACACAATGATGTAGTAAAGCCAATTCTTTTTTCTTTTTATCATTTATCAGTCCCACTGGCTTATATCCAGTAACTTTTCTCCCAGTTGGTTAGAGAAGAAGGAAAAAAGAAACAGCGCAGCACAGACTCACTCACCTAAACCACTGAGCGTGTGGAGAAGGTCACCGGTGTCTAAGAGGATGGGTCCATTCTCCTGCTGCCCTTCCTCTTTGTAGTACAGCTTATAGCCCTGGATGTCTGCTGTGTCCTCAGCATCCTGCTGCCATCTCACAGAAATGGTGGTACAGTTCAGAGGCTCCAAATGTAACTCTGGAGACTTAGGGGCTAGAAAAATTCACCAGAAATATATGTATAAAAAACCCTTAAGTCACATGAAAACACAGGAAAACAGATATCTCAGATCTCAAGCCAACCATTGCAAAAAAAATCAAATCCAACAATTATACTTTAACTTTCAATTTCACAATGATATTAAAGTTTGAGACAGAAATATATAAAATACTACGTAAAAGACTAAGGCATTTAAGAACAAAATAATGTCTATATTTGTGTATTTTTAAGAGACAATAAGTACTTTCTAATTTTGACCATCCAATATTCCTCTGTGATAGACAGAACAGGCATTATTAATAAATCAACTAACAACAACAAAACCAGTCAGGTTACATTCCACACTAGTAAAAGAGGAAGGTCAAAACTTCTTAGTCTTACGGTCTTTCTAGTAAACTGATGTTTTAAAAAATATATAGCAATAATATTAATTAGACATCTCTTTCTCTCTCTCATTCATATATATGTATATATCTTTTGATAATTCAGTCTGATTTGAGTGGATCTTTCCATGGAAGATTTGCTAAGCAAACAAATATTGCAACCAGGAATTTTACACACTAATGAGTTTGATGCAAAAAGGACTATTCTATACAAAGTTTAAATTTTTTCCTATTAAGTCCATGTTCGATTGGATCCTTTTACTCATAAAATAAAATTTAAAATATAAATGTAGCCCTGGCTGGCGTGGCTCAGTGGATTGAGTGCAGGCTGTGAACCAAAGCATCGCAGGTTCGATTCCCAGCCAGGGCACATGCCTGGGTTGCAGACCATGGCCCCCAGCAACCTCACATTGATGTTTCCTCTCTCTCTCTCTTTCTCCCTCCCTTCTCTCTCTAAAAATAAATAAATAAAATCTTAAAAATATAGATATATAAATGCAACTTAGATAAGAAAAAGTATCTAAAACGTAAATACAGTGTTATTCTTCCTCAGTCATCTTTAGAAATTTACCTTGTACGCTTGTAGCTTTGGGTGTCCTATGTGAAGTCCATACTGACGACTCTCCCAGCCCCACTCTGGTGGCAGCAGTAATCCGCACCAGGTAGACACTATCAGATTTCAGGCCTTTCAAAAGATACTCATGTGTGTTTCCTGGGAGCTCCAGAACTTGGATGGAGTTCTCAGTGCTTAGGCGGAAGGACAGACGATAGAGCACCACTTGGCCCCTCCGATATTTGGCTGGGATTGGCAGCCAGGAGATGAGGATATCAGTGGGACTGCGACTTGTCAAACTAATTTCAGGAGGTCTCAGAGGAACTGGTCATATAAGAAAACAGATTGCTTATAAATATTTAGAGTCAAAATTGTCAATCAGCAAACCAATATTGACTGAATTTTCTTAATAGCAACACATAACATAATAAAGAAGAGATGCCTTCAGCCCTAGAAGAGGTTTTCAGAGTACAAATCATAGGCAGGCAGTGAAAGGACCAATCACAGGGAACCAGAAAAAGCAAGATTGTCATCAACATTGTTTGGGATGAATATGAGATTACTTAATACTCATATAAAATATGAGAATAGTTCTCAATTCTACCAAAATGCCTTAAGAACAGGACACAAAGAATTATACAAGAGCTGGGAAGCTTAGGGCAGCAGGGTTATAGTTTGGCAAATAATATTTTAAAGTGTAAGGGTGGTATCTTAAAAATTAGTGTGAATTTTGTATTCCCAATTTATATATATGAAAATGAAAACAACCTTCTTCCTCTAAATGACTTGAATACACCTGGCACTCCAGAAAAATGAGTCAAGTATAGTGGAAAGCAGTCAAGTATGGTGTTAAGAGATGTCCTAGAGTTAGCCTGTGTGTTTGAATCCTTGTGCTACCATTTACTACTCTCTGTGATTTTGGCCAAAGTAACTTCCTCCCCTGTGTCTCTTTTTCTTCAGATATAAAATGAGGATGATAATGATAGCTCATTCCTATCTCAATTAATGGCAATTACTTGTCTAACTCAAGCTAAAATCCTTGGTGTCATCCTTGACTCCTCCAAACACACTCTACATTCAATCCTGTGACTCTGTGATTTCCACTGCCACCCCCTTGGTCCCTGCCAGCACCACCTTTAGCCTGTATTGTTGCAACAGCCTCCTAACAGACTTCCCAGTTTCTCCCATGTCCCTACTATCTATTCTCAACACATTAACTGTTAAAATGTAACTTATATACTGTCACTCTTCTGCTCAAAATAGCTCCCATTTCAGTCAAAGTAAAAGCCAAAGTGCTCTTTGAGCTCTATCTGCTTACATGGTCAGCTCCTATTAACGCTCTGCCTAATCTCCACTGCTTCCTATTTGTTCCATCCCCTCTAGCCACACCTGAGCTTCAGGCCCTTAGCAACTTCCATTTCCTCTGCCTAGAATGCACTTCCCAGTCATCTGCCTAACCAACTCCCTTATTTTCATTTCCTTCAGGTCTTTGTTCAAATGTCCACTATTCAGTGAGCTCTTCTTTGGCGACTCTGTCTAAAGTCTCAAACCCTCCCAACATTTTATACTCCCCTTCCCTGCTTTTTTCCTTCTTCACAACACTTATCACTATCTACCACAACTATTTACCATATCTGTTGTTTCTCTACCCCCTCTCCCACTAGTAAGTAAGCTTCTTGAGTGCAGAGACAGGGTTTTTGTGTGTGTGTGTGTGGTTTTTTTTTGCTTCTTGTTCACTACTAAATATTGAATAACACATAGCAGGTACTCAATATACATGTATAACATGAATGATGAAAAGAGAAAATCAATATATTAAGCATTTCTGAGTCCTTGATGTGTATGAACTCATAAATTCTCACAAAAAATCAATATAAGAAGTATTGTAACATAACCATTTCTACTTTATAGCTGAGGAAACTTAAGTACAAAGAGGTCAAATCACTTGCCCAAGGTCACACAGCTCTTAAGTCAAGGACCAGATCCAGGCAGACTAGACAGAGCCCACATCCTTATCCCCTATGATTTACAATCTCTCGTAACAATAGTTGTTCTATCACAGACTTACATAGGGACTAAATGAGACAATAGAGGAAAGGTTACTGAATAGGCAGGGATAAGCACTCCACAAGTGTTAGCTGTATCAGCTATGCACTGCTGTGTACTCCAGGAGACGCATGCATCTCTGTTTGAGAAGTATGAACTTAGAAAATAGGGAGAGACTTGTGCAGAAATCTGGAAAGCAGTGTCAGAGATCTGAATGTTGTCCACAATTCAAAATAGAACAGATTAAAAAGCTGCAGAATAAGGAAAGGTTTAAAGGAGAAAAACTTTGAGAACATAACTGGAATTGGCAAGCTTGCTACATTTAGACCCATTTTCTTCAAGGATATGGAGTGGTATACCTCATATGCAACTCAAAAAACCTCAAAAGGCAAAACCAACCAAATAAAAAATGCTTAGACATGCACATGAGAGGTTGTTAAATGTAATGAGGTAACTAGAGAGGTCATATGTACTGTGGCTCACTCCAAAGGGAAACAAATTCTTAAATGAAAACTGAAATTTGGAATTCAATATCCAGATCAGTGATAACTTTTTCATTTAGTCAATGTCTGAATTTACAAACATCTAAATAAGTGACACTATAAGGATATAAGTAAGAGATCTGGGGCCAAATGAACAAAGCCAAAAAAAGACTTGGGAATCATTTCTGTAAAAATGTTCTGAAAACTAAGGGTGGGTCATTTCGTGAGGATGAGACACATTTGTAAAGGGAGAATAGTATAATTAAGCACATTTTAAGTAATTTCTTTTTCACACCGCAGGGCATAAATATGGGCCTTCTAGAGCCTCTATAGAAAGAGTCAGAGGAAGAGACCCCGCTCTCTAGTACTATCTCAATAGAAGGAATTTCTCTCAATTGTAAGAACAACTCAATTTCCAACCCAGGGTCAGGTAACAAACTGAAGAAGTATTACTTTCTTCCTTAAGTAGAATAAACATATTGTATCTAAAAATAAACTGATTTTATAAAATATTTTTAACTGGCAGGTATTAAATTTCATAAACTCCCAGTTTAAGGAGTCTAATACACTTGACTTCTAGTCATTATATATACTCAATAGGTAACTGTCCTTATATTTATTCATGCCTAAAGAATATACTTAAGTAAAAACTAAATAAAAATAAATAAAAACTGCTACATATTTACAATTTAAACTAGGGAACTTAAATGCATTGATAATACTAGAATTTTATGATTAAAATTTATATTATAAATTATAAAAAGTTTTATTCTTATGTTACTATAAAAAAGTGAAAGTCAGGTTTGAAATAGCAAATTAGCCTGCGGGTTACTGCACCATTTTTTTCTTAATCAGAAGGAAAATATTTTCACTATTTTAAAACATTTATTTAATGAAATTGATTAAACATATGAATAGTCATACTTAAATGACCAAGAATCATGCTTTCTTACCATCCTCTAAAGTATTCTGTGTCACATGGTCAGACATCTGGCTGGCTCCCATTGGCATATATGCCACAATGTAGAAAGTATAATTGCTGGCAGGTTCTAAGTCATCAATAATATAATGAGTTGTGTCATTTCCGATGACTACTTGATATTCTTCATTATTTAAACCTATATTAATGAACAGTGTTTAAAAATTAAGAATATTCAAAATAAAATTAACAAGACCATTTCCCTCACTATGAAACACTGGTCCTTGAGTCTAATCTCTATCAGTTACCTTTTGTTATCCTTTAAAAAATGTGAATAGGAAGGTCTTTATTTTCTAACAGTAACCATTTGTCTTGCTACAACTGACTAGTTTAAATTTTTCCTAAAGAAATCAAACCAAAAATAATTAATCTTCTCTAAACTCCATTAACATCTAGTCAAAACTCACAGCAGAGGCAATATGTAGCAGTAACACACAGAGTTTAACACTACAGAATACTGTAATTCATAAGTGTAAATTTTACTTGCTTAACCTCATGACTTCTTTATTCTTTTAAACATTAATGGAGAGACAGTGGGGAATGTAATGGCTCTACTCTTCATAAAAACAGACCAAACCAAAAGTTGTCCTGCAGAAGTTCTCATTTTGCCCCTAGAGATTCCATTAAATTTGACTGACACAAGTTGTTCTTTTATTTATATTGAAAGCAAAAGATCTGGGAAGCATAGAATGTGCTTCAGGACGCTGTTTCACAATGAGGTTTTTTTTTTTTAAGAGGAAAAAATTCTCAGCAATTCTCAATAAAATATGCATGGCAAGGTATAGAACAGGATTTGTCTTTGTGGGATTTAACTCCTACAGAGCAAACCTGTAATGTGGAACTGGAACAAGAGCACTGGTCGCTACTGTGTTTTGCTAACAGTTCACAGTAAATGAATGTCAACTTAATCAAAACCCTCTAAGGACAGGGCCCCTTCTCCCCACACTGGATTTATAAACAAAACAGAAGGCAAATTCCACTATTAAGTTTTCCCACATTTCTGAATGAACTTGATAGCATTTTAATTAGACAAGATTACAGGCATTTCACAACAGACTGGCTAATGTCTCGTTAATTAGGAACTGCATAGTACGATTTCTGACCTACTAAACAAGGTCCTTGAGTTCGAATTAAAAAGCCTTGTTCCAACCCTGAATAGACCACTGAGTTGCATGTGGAGGCTCTAATGAAAGAACCATAATAGCGACCAAGAGTGGTCTCCACCAAAACCAGCATTCCTTTTACCTTTCTAAATCACTGAAAGGGGAATTAACATACTCCAACATGCTCAGTTATCAGACCTTCATTCTTCTTGCTACCATGACCCATGATTTAAATTCAAAATATTCCTTTTCAAAATACTACTTTAAAGGACAAAAAATAATAAACAACTACCTGTTTCTACAGACAATTATATTATATCCCCATTCCTTGGGTGTTTGGATTTGTTTTTAATGTCTATTGCATAAAAGTTAGGCTGTTTGTGTACAGAAGTAAAATCTGTAAACCTCTACTATGGTTTCTATGAAAAAATCAATAGAGAAATCTCTAGGATTTACAAGCAGTTTTTCCTTTTCCTCTAAATTCTTTACCAAAAGAAACAATTACGACAAAAGATTCCAGAAATGGAATAATAGTTCTGAATAAAAAATTGAAGACAGATCTGATTTCTATTTTTATATAATAAATGAGACATCAGTAATATCTTGATCAATTTCTATCTTGTTCATATAGAGTTCTATATGATTTCAGAAAACATTCAGAATACACAAAATCAAATATATGGGGAATTTGTTAATGTTTACTTCCCCCTCTTTAAAAATAACATGCTACAGTGACTATACTACACTGTTTTATTAAGCAGTTACACCATTGGTTCTATGTAACTGCTTACTTAAATTGGCATATTAAGTCTTAGTTAACAAATTTATATCTTTGCTGAAATGAAATCCATAAATACACCACTCTATATATTTTACCTGGCAGAGAGGAAAAAAAATCTTAAACTATACTTACATTCACAAAATGTACAATAAAAAATTTAGAGAAGAACAGATATACACTATGATAGAGCATTTTATTAAAAGAGATGCAGAAAGGCAAAGAACTTCAAAAACATTATATGGGTTATGTAAAACATCATTCAAACTGAAAACAAATCCATGATAACAAGTGGAACTTAAACACTCATCATCCCTACATTAGGGATGGATGATGGTTACTCAGTTGGTTAAAGAGGGAATCATCCTAACACATCAAGGTTGCAGGTTGGATGCCCAGTCAGGGCACATACAAGGAGCAACCAGTGAATATATCGATAAGTGGAACAACAAATCAATGTTCCTCTCGCCCTTCCTCTCTTTAAAATCAATACATTAAAAAATTTTTAAATAAACACTCCTCAAATTACTTACCTTCTGCTTTCATGTAGTGCACGGAATAAGCGATAACTTTGTCTGAATTATAAAGTGGCCTCTCCCAAGCTAAAAGGATGGCTGAACTTGACATGGTTTCAGCGTGCACATTATAGGGAGCACTGGGTCGGTCTTCTGACATTACTACGGTGAGTCTGGCTCTAGATAAAATTGATCCTTGGCTGTTCTCAGCCATGCACTGATAAATAGCATCATCTTCAGGAATAATCTGGTTAATTACCAACTTACTGAAGAAAGGAAAAAAATATTTATTCTATGAAAAATTCTAATAAAGATGTAAAATAAAGTTAAATCATTGCTAAGTATACTCTCATTTTGAATAGCAAAAAATAACAAAACAAAGAACAAAAACAATGTATAGTCAGGCCTACTGAAAAAAATGGATATGAGTTACTTAAAATTACTCTTATTTTCTTTAGATGACAGCTCAATGTCTTTTTAGAAAGCTGACTTTCACTGAGAAAGTATATTACTCTGTAACAGTATCTAATTTATATAATATTGCAACGTTACATAAAATTGAGGTCAACAAAAATTTTTAAAATTTTGTGCAACATAAATGAGAATATTATAAGAAGATTCATATTTATACAAATAAAAGTGAATTCTTAAAATCATTAAGTTTGACTTGTGGAGGAATTCTTAGAGAATCAAGACTTATTAGAAAATTTTTTTCTAATTTCCTCATTTATGGAAGAAAGAACTGAAACCTTCAAGGGTTAATATGCTTACTAATTACGTAGCTACTTGCTCATCAGGACTACAAGCCAGGTCTGGGGAACTGCCCAACATTCAGTGTAGTTAACCACTTCCATGATCCACATATAAAACAATGTATGACATGCTGATATAATCTTATTTTAGTTTAGTTTTAAGTACCAAGATAATGAAAGTAATTGATAGTATAAGTATAGCCACTTCACATAAAAATTACTAAGGTCATTATATTTTATCTAAAATAGTAGCAAAATGGCACAGCCTACCTGTTGTACATTTTAATTCTACCATTTGAATGTATCTTTCTTCCATTTTTCAACCATGACATTTTGGGTGAGGGGATTCCTTCAGCCTGACATACAAATCGAGCAGTGCCAGCTCGAGGCCTTGTTAAACTTTCTGGCCATTCGACAAACAAAGGAGGAGCTATATTTAAAGAAAAAAGAAAAATTATTTCTGTGGACCCAGTAGGAATGATACAGAGTCAAGAAAGAGTATAGAAAATCACCAACTCCCACCCCTGAAAATATTTGACATTTTGAGCCTCCAGTCTACACTCTGCATAAATCTATATCCAGACCCCTTTTCTATGCATTGTTCAGTTAGATATCTACTTCCCCCAGGCTCTCCCTATTGAGACCATGTATATAAATGCTCTAGAAATATGTACAATAATCCTACTTTACTAAACCCAATGCATAGCCCTTTGGGAATGCTTATAGACAATCAACAGGTTACAATTTTAGGTTGGTGAATGGGTATATGGATTTATGTGTGGGTGAGGGGGAGATAAGAGAAAAACTTAAGAAAGAAGGAATATAATGGTATGGAGGTAAAGAAAATGGTCACTTCAGAATAATAGTTGTATTTTAACATAGGATTTAAATTTTCCCTGAAAAATGATCATTAGATTAAGAAACTTCTTACTGACCTTCATATCAATGATACAAAATTCAAGAAAGGTGGAAAAGTAAGCTATGAATGAGATAAAACAGCAAATGTGAAAATGTAAGATTCTCCTGAATGCAGAACAAAAGAAACATACCTAATACAGTTAAAGTTGCCATGGCAACTGTAAAGTTTCGTGTGCCTGGGATAGTGGCCCGACAAACATATACTCCAGCATGTTGCAGCCTGACATCAGATATCATGAGATTACCGTTTCCAAGTACCCGAGTATTAAAGACATCAATGGACTTGTGATCTATTTCAAAGGGAATATTTCAATTACAACAATGTAAATTATGATCTAAAGTTAGTTCAAAAGATTACTCTCCAAACAATCCTGTCATAAAAGTATACTAAAACCATTCCTCTACACACTAAAATGACAAAAAGTTAAAAGCCACCTAATTGCCAAACATGTGTTTTATATATGAAATAAACATTTATCAGTTTCACTATAATGAACAAAGTTTAAGCAAAAGACTCCCCACCACTTCCTTGGACAGACATACCAAGACGGCTCCAAGAAATGATTGGTTTGGGATTTCCTGTGGCCATGCATTCCAAAACAACAGTCTGATGAAGAGATGTTGTTATGTTCTGTGGACCTGCTATAATGGTTGGTGTGTGGAAGGATTTAGATTCCTTAGCTTTGGAGAGGAAAAGGCAGAATATAAAAATAAGTTATAAGTAAAATAATAAGTAAAATGGATGAAAATATCTATTTTTAAGTTATTTATTTTTGTTTTGTTAAAACAACTGAGATATAACTCACTTAACATACAATTTACCCATCTGAAGTACAATTCAATGGTTTTTAGTATTTTCAGAGTTGTGCAGCCATCACCACAATCAATTTTAAAATACTTTCATGACCCCAAAATGAGACCCCATGCCCATTAGCAGTCACTCCCCAATCTCCTCTCCCCATAGCCTGGCAACCACTAACCCACTCTCTGTCTCTCTGGATTTACCCATTCTAGACATTTCATAGTAAAGGAACCACACATTACATGGTCCTTTATGGCTGGTTTCTTTTAACAGCATAATATTTTAAAAATGGAACATGTACCAGTACTTCATATCTTTTTATTGAGCAACAACAGAATATATAATTATATTAATAAAATGCATTTTATTTATTAATTCATCAGTTGATGGACATTCGGACTGCTTCTACTCATTCCTTTTTTTTTTTTACTCATTCATTTTTAATTGAGGTTCAAACATTTATTTAATATTTTCACTAATCTTGTTAAGAATCCATGTGACGGGGGAGGAGGGAAGGGGTATGAGAGTGCTTTTGTTTCTATCTTTCATACCAGGAAGCTAACAGATATTCTTAAAATTAAAACAAAGCATTAAAAATATAATTTCAGTCTCTTAATGTTTTTTTTTAAAGTTTTAAACTTAACAGATCTTTTGGAAAGTAGTATCTCTTATGAAGAGAAAACACTCATATGAAGTTTAACAGTGACTTTAGTCTAAGTTTTCTTCCACTATATTCAAGTAAATTTAAATTAATTATTTTAAAATAGAAACCAGCATCGATAAATATAATTCCATTTTAATAATTTATGTATTTCTTTCTTCATATTCATCTCTCTAGCTATTTCCCTTCTAATTATGTTCATGTATGGTAAAATATAAAAAATTATATTCACTTAATGTTAATAATAATTTCTGAATATTAGAATTGGAGACATTTTAAAACTTCTATGTTTGTACTTTTTTACTTTTATAAACATTACTCTTCATAATAAGCATGCATTAGTGTCATAAATGCAAATTATAATTTTTCTTAAACAACAAAAAATACCAAACTGGAAACAAGTATCTCTATAATGACAATGGACAACTCTGGTGGAAATGAATGACTGTTATTCTCTTTTCTGTGTTTTACATATTTTTTAAAAACTGAAATATTTAAAAATATTCAATCTTTCTTAAAGATGTTGACACTAGCATAAAACAAGTCATCCTCCAAAAGAAGCAAGTTGCTTATCATAAAAATGACCATTTTCCTAATAGATTACAATATTTTCAATAAAACTAAAGTACTACTTTATGGCATATTATTATAGCCAGAGAATAAAAATTAATAGCTGTGCTATTAAAAATTAAAAACATAAACAAACAAAACTTCTGTGAAGTACCTGGAGTCACTGTTAGGGAGGCCTCCATACTTTTACGCCTGTGAGCTACAGTAGCAGCAACACAGCGATAATTTCCAGCATCCCTTTGGCCAACATCATAGATCTGCAATACTCCTGTTGGTAGGGCAGTTATCCTGTTAGAAGACAGATGATTAAACACTTTGTAGTAGATTTTACTTTTTATTTTAACATATATTCTATAAGAAGATTTAATACAGGGTCTGGCAGCAGTAATGCCTGCTTGACTGTGGTTGGTAGGGTAATAATATGGGTGTAATAATTTATAGTTTTAATTTGAACATTTCACCTAAAATGTCATATGATGTGCTTGAGTGTGATACTGTTATGTTACAGAATTACATGCTTATGGTTTTATAATGAAAGATTTTGTAATAAAACAGGGAATTATTGTGCCATACCCTGTATATTCAACCTTTTTTAAATCACCAAATGAAATACATTAAAGACCTTAAAAATATTCGTTTGAGCAAATGGTTTTCATTTGAGTCATTATAGTTCTCTAAAACAAATAACTAAGCAGTATGTGGTTTCTGGTACCTATCAGTCTAATTTTACACAGAGTCTCACTTGACATGATAGCTTAGATATAGCTAATTGGTGGCCTAGAGCGTCATATAATTTTTTCAGATTCCTGAATTTTTTGCCTGTTAGTATCGATGTATTCTCCAAGGCATACCTGAATGTAAGTTTTTTAAAAAGTACTTCCTTGAATAAGCCCTCCCATCTATGTGCCTCACCATTTTAGTAAATGATTTTTGCCTACATAGGAACAGTGCTACTCATTAGGACAGGAATCAAACTTTTTGAAATTGCTACAAAGTTCTTGATTTTTAGACTTCAACCATCTTCAGAACCTTGGGAGGAGAGTGTGTGCATGTGTAGAGGAGAGGGGACTGGGAAGTGGAAAGTGGAGATAGAACTGGGCATCTACCAGGGCATACATGGGAGATTCTTTTCATCAGCACTGCTACTGCCAGCAGTAAAAGTGTCATCTGGTTTTCCAAATCCTTAGGCTGCAATCCATTTACTCAGGTGGTCCTATGATTGGAAGAGATATTCAAGGAAAGGAACAAAGCAGTAAGGCAGGCTCTCTGAATTCTGATCTGATCCTCCAAAACAGGAATTATGCCCCATATTCCAGAGACTGACGATCTAATTCTCTAATTTTGAAGTGTCTTAAGAAGTTGATTATTGACATTGTAAATAAAAAGGAGTTCATAATAAAGTGTTCATTACTCCCACATCTCTCCAAAGACAAAACCTGCCTTTACCTGTCCATAGTTACAGGTAGAGTTGTTCGATTTACTTCCCATGTTATAATTGCAGGAGGATTTGATGAAATCTTGCATGCAAATCTAGCAATTCCACCTTCTTGTACCTCAGTAGAAATTGGCTGAACTTCAAATGCAGAAATAGCTACAAGATAAAGTTTGTTTGACAAATTCAGAATAAGTACATGAATTTATTATACCATACTTGGAAATAGCATTCTACTAGATATCATTTATCAGACTTAAATTCTTATTCAGATGTTAAGACCATCACAACATAATCACCACAAAGATAATTTAGGGAATAACTGTGGAAAAACCACTGAGCAGTTGCCCAAACCATGGAGTCCAGTCTTTCCCAGGATGAAATTCTAACCAAGTTCTTAAGAAACTTACAACTTGTTTGGAGAAAAAAAAATTAAGATAACTGAAACAAACAAAATTAATAATGGTACTTAATTATATACCAAACTATGAAGTACAAACTTCAAATACTACTCTATTTCAGAGGAGAGAGAAATCAATGAGTTCTGATTACACAGGTAAAAACTATTTACAGAGACTGGTTTTAAGTTGAGTTTTGAATAATATATTGAGTTTAAATGAAAGGGGGAATTAGGATTGACATGAAGACAATGACAAAAGTGGAAAAAGAGTAGAGATAAAGCAGATTTCTAGCATAGTACAAATTAAGACATCAATAAAGATTTTTTAGTGAAGAAGTATCATGATAGTAGCATTTGGAAAAAAATTAATCAGGCACTGTTACATAGGATAGACTAAGAAAAAAAGAGCCTAGAATCAAGACCAATGGGCTGTTTAAATAGCAATGACAGAACTGGGTGGTGGCAGTGAGAAGGGTGAGATTCTACAAATACCTTAATGAAAACAAGGACTCTGTGTTTGGAATTAAATGGGGTTGGTATTGATGTTGCGGAATCAAAAAGACAGAAAAGATAAATGGTGTGCTGATGAACAAAAAGTAGAGAGACTTGAGACTATTTTTAGACTTATGTTATTTCCAAAATAAAGCTAAATCTTCAAGTGTTGATATTTTCTAGAGATAATTCTTTACTACTCTAGACTGGCCTCCAGGAACTTGTCAGGGTCCATGATTTTACATTTTGACAGAGTCCAGACTCCAGGTAATAATGTGGTTTTCCTTTCCTCTACTAAGTCTCCCAAGACACAAAGGAAGGGCCTCAATGATGGTTTTACTGCCTCCCCTCAGATTCCAGTTCAAAAAGTATATATGCCTTCATGGTTTATCAATCAAGTGAAAAGTTACGGACAAAAGTGGAGCAACTATGGTCTAGATGACTTATCCCTCATTAGACTGGAAAGGGTAAAAGACTAAAATATTCTACCTTGGACTTGACTTCATTAGTTTGTAAGTGGATAACAGGCCTTTAGAGGAATAGGACATAGTCAGTGAATAATGAAAGTATTCTTAGAAAATATTCTTCCAGAAAGGATGAAGAATAAAGTGACTTTTTGTGTGTAACCAAAAATTTCTCCTTCCTAAAGAAGAGTGGTTCTCAAATGACCGTTGTCAGTGGATCCACAAGGTAAAAACCATTTTCATAATCACCATTATGCGCGCCTTCTCATTTTCATCTCTCTGTGTACAGTGTTTTCCAGAAACAACACAATGAGTGACATCACAACAGACCCAAATAGAAGCAGATATATGTATGAATCCAGCCATCATCTATTAAACTAAAACAGTGCCACTCTGACTAAATTTTCTTTTGCTTTGGAAAATAGTTGTGTTGATTAGATGTATTATGTTAATAAGTAATGAGGACTTCAGGTCAAGATGGCGGTGCAGGAAGACATGGCTCACCTCTTCACACAAGCATCATGAAAATTACAACCAAAATATAAAACAACCATCACTCAGAACCATCAGAAATCGAGTTGAATGGAAGTCTGACAACTATGGAATTAAAGAAACCACAACCATCCAAACTGGTAGGAGGGGCAGACACAAGGAATAGGCTGGTCCCACATCCACATGTGGTGGATAAAAATTCAGGAGGGCTATCTCAGGAGTGAAGATTCCCAGCAAACCAGGGTTCCAGTGCCAGGAAGATAAGTCTCCACAACTTATGGCTGCAAAAACCAGTGGAGATTGAGTCAATGGAAGAAACTGCTGGAGCCTCAAGCAGTTCCTCTTAAAGAACTCACACATGGACTCAACCTACAAAGATGTACTCTCTCTGAGCTCCAGCACTTGGGTAGCAACTTGAAAGGCACCAGAGGCATACAGGGAGAAACTGAAGTGTCTGGCATCAAGTCCAGCAGAGGCCATTGTCCCTTTTCTAAACCTTCTGCCCACAGAGCTGGCAAGCTGGTACCATTATCTGAGACTCCATCAACTTAGCGAACACTATTTGACTAACCTTGGAGATCCCTAGAGACTACACCCCACCCAACTTATTGCCCACCCAAGCTGCTTTTCCATATGAATGGCTGGTCTTGGTTCAGGCTTCACAGCTTCCTAAATCCTCTTAAATAACCAACAGCTGTCCTCAATGAACTTCGGGCTTGGCACTAGCAAAAGCCAGCCAAGATTCACAGCTTGGCTTCGCCTGGGAATCTCCAAGTCCAGCACAAGTAGCAGCCATCTCAGACTGCTTTTATAGCTCAGGCAGGGTGTCTCCAGGCAAAACACAGGTGGGGGCTGATCTTGGCCTGCACCACCCAGAAATCTCCACGGCCAGTGCACCCAGTGGGCAACTACAGACCACATCATAGTATCAACACCCTGACCCTGCACAGCTGATCCTCCATGAAGGATGGAGATGGTGGTCAGTGGTCACAGTCAGTCCTTGTAGCTGACTGGCCTGGGTAAATCCCTCTCATTGATTTGCCAATGGCAACCAAGGTTTAACTTCAAGAGGATGGTGTACTCAGCCCACACAAAGGGTATAGCTCAACTACTCAGTGTGGATGATAGGGGAGACTGTACCACTGGACCCTACAGGACATCTACTTCTTTTAGGCCACACTATGAAAACACAGAGTCAAAACAGCTCTACCTAATACATAGAAACAAACACAGGGAGACAAAGAAACACAGACAAAATGAAAGAACAGATCAAAACTCCAGAAAAAGAGCTAAACAAAATGGAGATAAGCAATCTATCAGATGCAGAATTTAGAACATGGTCATAAGGATGCTCACAGAACTTAGTGAGGATCTCAAAAAGATCCAGTCAGAAATGAAGGATACAGTAATTGAAATAAGGAACAATTTGCAGGGAAACAACAGTAGAGTAGATGAAGCCAAGAATCAAATCAATGACTTGGAACATACGGAAGGAAAAAAAACAACTAATCAGAACAAGAAGAAAAAAGAATAAAAAAAAGAGGATAGTATAAGCAGCATCTGGGACAACTTCAAGAGGTCCAACAGTTGCATCATAGGGATACCAGAAGGAGAAGAGAAACAGGAAGAAACTGAAAATCTATTTGAAAAAGTAATGAAAGGAAACCTCCCTTATTTGGTGAAGGAAGTAGACATGCACGTCCAGGAAGCACAGAGAGTCCCAAAGAAGATAGATGCAAAGGGACCTGCTCCAAAACATATAATTAAAATGCCAAAGTTGAATATAAAGAGAGAATCTTAAAAGCTTCAAGAGAAAAGAAGTTATTTATCTACAGGGGAGTTTCCATAAGACTGTTAGCTGATTTCTCAAAAGAAACCTTGCAGGCTAGAAGGAACTGGTAGGAATACTTATTGTTCTACCAAAGATACTATTTAGAATCAAAAGTCAGATAAAGAGCTTCCCATACCAAAAAATGCTAAAGGAGTTCATCATTATCAAACTATTATTATATGAAATGTTAAAAGGACTTATTTAAGAAAAAGAAGATTAAAACTATGAATAAATATCTATCAAAAATTGAATCTAAAAAAATAAGCAAACAAGAACAGAGACAGAATTACGGATATAGAGAATGTTTTGATGCTTGCCACATAGGAGGGGTTGTGGGGGAATGGGTAAAGAGGTGAGGGGACTAAGAAGTACAAATAGATAGTTACAGAATAGCCATGGGGATGTAAAGTACAATATGGAAAATGGAGTAGCTGAAGAACTTATACACATGACCCATGGACATGAACAAAGTATAGAGATTGCCTGAGAAAGTGGGGGATGTAGGGTAGAAAGGAGCAAAGGGACAAAAATCAGGACAACTGTAATAGCATAACCATAAAATATAATTAAAAATAAATAAAAAATTAAAAATGTAATGGATCAATGTTTTTATTTGTAAATTAATATTTTTAAAACTTGTTTTAATTTTTAATAATAAATATCAATAGATATAACCTATACAAATAAAAGCTCTTTGGGGTCTCTATGAGTTTTAAGAGTATAAAGAGTGAGACTAAAATGTCTGAGAACCCCTACTGAAGAACATCAAATTCTAAAAATCATTACAATTTTTTTTTAAGATTTTTTTTATTTTTACAGAGGAAAGGGAGGGAGATAGAGAGAGAGAGAGAAACATCAATGTGCGGTTGCTGGGGGTCATGGCCTGCAACCCAAGCATGTTCCCTGACTGGGAATCGAACCTGCGACACTTTGGTTCGCAGCCTGTGCTCAATCCACTGAGCTACGCCAGCCAGGGCTTTAAAAATCATTACAATTTTTAAAAAATTTTGGTATAATCATTTTCTAAAATCTTAATCTATTTTAAAACATTTTTATTCTGCATCAAACCAATGCCCTTCCTACTGAAGAGTGAGAACACATGGTTATATTTATCTCCAAAATATCAAGTACTGTTGTATTTGTTTTCAAAATATCAGGTTAACATTCATAAAGAGCCTGGTTTCTCTGTAATAATCTAAGCTCATTTTTCTATAATTAACTAAACTATGTCAAACATTCATATTCTGGGGGAATAAGGACCTAAATTTCTATAAATTTAATGCCAGCTTTATGAAGTACCAATTTCTCTTCTTGGTCCCATAATACCTTTTCCGTGTGTAAGGGGGTGACTTTTAGTTCTGGCCATCAATGTGGTAAATTTTACCTTATTCTTCTCCAGACTTGCCCTCTCTAAACTGAAATATCTACTACAGCTCAACTTTATGTCATAAAGCAATTCTTCCAGCCTATTCAAATAATT